CGCCGAATAGCACGGAGGGGAGGTAACAGTATATTCCCCCTTCGTTCCTCGCATCTCGAGACCGCAGATGGCGATTCGGAATTGGAAAGAGGAGTACTCTTGGAATAAGGCGCTCCCTCAATTAGCGTCTTATAGGGCGGTGTGGGCAAGGCGCGACTTTGTCCCTGGGAGGACTCTTGAGGTTGAAAGAGCATTGATCCGCGTCCTCTTAGGCGTGCACGCGCGCGCACACGCTCACAAAGTGAGTTTTAATCGCTCGTTTCATTATTGATGTGTGTGGGGTGACCTCGCCAGGCATGTTTGCATGTAACTAGTGGGCTGGCTTAGCGGAGGAGTAATTAAAACATTTCATTCTGATGACCTGCTTCTAGGCACCGCATCAGCCAGCTCAACCCTTCAAATTCACAATTTCTGAATCCTGTGATCGGATTAAGGAGGAGTTTCAGTTTTTACAGGCTCAGTACCACAGGTAATGATGATGTTTACTTTCCCTGATCCTCGTGTTTGCTTATCTCTTGTCACTCTCCCTCTCCCCCCACCCCAGGCACAGACATGTGTGTATATCCCCATCTCCTCCTTTTCCCCTTCTCCTCTTTGAAAACCAGGCTGAAAGAAGATGAGTGCCCCCCCCCACGTAGCCTGCCCCACCCCCAAAATTTCCAGGTCATAGCCCTTGATAGAACTGTGCTGTTTCATTGCTTTCATCTTGCCAGAGAAGGTTTGGGTTTGAGTGGCAACCACTTGAATATTGCAAGTGTGCTTTTAAACATTGTACTGAATGCATTTCAAAGTGCTTCTTGGGAGGTACTTAAGAAAGAACCCCTCTGCATTAATCCAGATGGTGGAAATTGCCTTATTTTTTTTTTAAAAGCCAGATTTAGCAGATCAGGTACCAAAGCAACAGCAAAATAAAAACAAAATGTTGGGGTGCAAGAAAAAAAATGCTCCTGTCTTTTGCTCCTGTCTTTTTTTCTTTTGTATAAATGTTGTTTGGGAGGTGCAGCCTGCCTTGGTCCATCTCTGGCACATTTTCCACAACAATATGGAATGTCAGGTGTTGATCAATTACAATTGGAGTTTGAAGTGTTCTCTCATTATCCTCAGGGTAGATAATGCTTCATGCATTCCTTGACAAACAAGGTCTCTCAATATTGTTGCCTTGGCTTTTAAAAGAGGCGGGGAATGCAAAGGGAGCTTTATTGCTCACAAGATGTCGCTTGTAGTTGCTGTTGTGTGGCTTTCTTTGAAACCTGAACCCTTTTCAGCCTTTTATGCCCTGGAGTGGTTCCTCAAAGTTTCAGGGCAAACAAAAATGCATGTGAACCCAGCTTATCTAGTAGGTATTTTGGAAGTGGGTTTTACAACAGCAGGTGATGTCCTGCTTTGACAATAGACAAGCCTCCTAACAGATTATTTACTGTAAGCACACTTGTGTTTTTTTCCCCCTCTTCCTTCTGATTGTCCAAGGGAAATTCATTTGCTCCAAACTTTCCTGCAGTTTTTTGAGCAAAGGAAATTTTTGAGATATGTGAACAGTTTTCTTCTTTTTCACTTTTTATTAGCATCACTGAAGAGGACTTGTGTATGTCTTTTCTACATATATATTTAAACAAGTAATCCTATGAAAATTCTCATGGATTTTTCCCTTCTTCTCTCGAACAGTTTAAAGCTAGAATGTGAAAAACTAGCCAGTGAAAAGACAGAGATGCAGCGGCATTATGTCATGGTAAGCAAGCAGCATAACGAATTCAAAATGTCTATTTTGTTCGTGGGGTCCAGGAATGGAGACAAGTGCTCCGATTGCTGGAGGCAATGGAGATGCTGTAATGATGAAGGCTGCAATTGGAAACATTGGATTTGAAGGCTTTTCATGTGCGTAATACTGGTAGCTCTGGTATGCATTTTTCCATCTGTGGCACAGCCTATTAGACCTTGTATTCAGACTTCTTTTGAAGCCTGAATAGAGGCTGCATGGTAGAATATCCTAAAAATTGTACTCTATGCACAAGGGTCTATATAGCATCTCATACTTCCTCCAAGTATTGATGGAATATGTGTTTGACTGGCTAGAGGCATACCTTCAAGCAAAAGCTGCCAGATCTGTTTCCTTATTCTACTGCTTTGACTTATGAAATATATCTGTACTTCAAAAGAGTGACACATTCAGTGCCGACAACACCAGTAGTTTAATAAAGGTCTTTAAAACCTGTTGCTTATGAGCTGATTGTTGAAGATTTCAAGAATAATCATGATAAGAATTATAGAACAGATCCTCACCCCTATATCTGTGGACTCACTTCAGCAATAATCAGTGTGTGATGAAGTCTCCAAATGCCTAATTTTCTGATGGATTGTGATGACACCCAAGGAGCTGTTTTCTGTCTGCTCCTCTCTGCTTATGTGAGGAAATAATTGCTTTCTTTATGTGATGGAGTGACTTGATTTTAAGGAGGACAATAACCTTGAGAGAGAGTCCGCCTTCTAGCCAAAGCCCAAACTATCCATCAAAGCTTTATATTCTGGCCTTCATACGTCTAATGTGGCTAGAGTGCAAGGTGCTAACTGGCAGAATTCAGTAACCACGCAGAACTGGAAAATAGGACATTTTTTAAACAATGGTGTGTCTGCTTTGAATTTGAATTGCTCTGCTGTTTTCTTCTCTTGCAAAGCTTCAATTTAATTATGGTCATTCTTTTTACATTGTTGATTGATGGCCATGTCTTTTTTTTTTAAAGCTTTCCTAGCATTTAATAAATCAGTACTGTGAAACAAGATGTGTGCTTGGGTTTGTATAATCTTTGGTGCTTTTGTCATTTTGCCTTTCTGGCCACCCACTTTTGAACAGCTGTAGAATTAAGAACAAAAAATAGATTTATTTTACCAGTAAAGACAGAAAAAATAGCTGTCTTACACTACATATGCTTTCAAAAAGAAAAAGAAAAAAAAGGAAAAACAAACAAAGTGGATGCATTGATATGATACAAATCCTAAAATTCCTTTTCTTTTTTCTTAGTATTACAGTATATTCCCCCTTCGTTCCTCGCATCTCGAGACCGCAGATGGCGATTCGGAATTGGAAAGAGGAGTACTCTTGGAATAAGGCGCTCCCTCAATTAGCGTCTTATAGGGCGGTGTGGGCAAGGCGCGACTTTGTCCCTGGGAGGACTCTTGAGGTTGAAAGAGCATTGATCCGCGTCCTCTTAGGCGTGCACGCGCGCGCACACGCTCACAAAGTGAGTTTTAATCGCTCGTTTCATTATTGATGTGTGTGGGGTGACCTCGCCAGGCATGTTTGCATGTAACTAGTGGGCTGGCTTAGCGGAGGAGTAATTAAAACATTTCATTCTGATGACCTGCTTCTAGGCACCGCATCAGCCAGCTCAACCCTTCAAATTCACAATTTCTGAATCCTGTGATCGGATTAAGGAGGAGTTTCAGTTTTTACAGGCTCAGTACCACAGGTAATGATGATGTTTACTTTCCCTGATCCTCGTGTTTGCTTATCTCTTGTCACTCTCCCTCTCCCCCCACCCCAGGCACAGACATGTGTGTATATCCCCATCTCCTCCTTTTCCCCTTCTCCTCTTTGAAAACCAGGCTGAAAGAAGATGAGTGCCCCCCCCCACGTAGCCTGCCCCACCCCCAAAATTTCCAGGTCATAGCCCTTGATAGAACTGTGCTGTTTCATTGCTTTCATCTTGCCAGAGAAGGTTTGGGTTTGAGTGGCAACCACTTGAATATTGCAAGTGTGCTTTTAAACATTGTACTGAATGCATTTCAAAGTGCTTCTTGGGAGGTACTTAAGAAAGAACCCCTCTGCATTAATCCAGATGGTGGAAATTGCCTTATTTTTTTTTTAAAAGCCAGATTTAGCAGATCAGGTACCAAAGCAACAGCAAAATAAAAACAAAATGTTGGGGTGCAAGAAAAAAAATGCTCCTGTCTTTTTTTCTTTTGTCTAAATGTTGTTTGGGAGGTGCAGCCTGCCTTGGTCCATCTCTGGCACATTTTCCACAACAATATGGAATGTCAGGTGTTGATCAATTACAATTGGAGTTTGAAGTGTTCTCTCATTATCCTCAGGGTAGATAATGCTTCATGCATTCCTTGACAAACAAGGTCTCTCAATATTGTTGCCTTGGCTTTTAAAAGAGGCGGGGAATGCAAAGGGAGCTTTATTGCTCACAAGATGTCGCTTGTAGTTGCTGTTGTGTGGCTTTCTTTGAAACCTGAACCCTTTTCAGCCTTTTATGCCCTGGAGTGGTTCCTCAAAGTTTCAGGGCAAACAAAAATGCATGTGAACCCAGCTTATCTAGTAGGTATTTTGGAAGTGGGTTTTACAACAGCAGGTGATGTCCTGCTTTGACAATAGACAAGCCTCCTAACAGATTATTTACTGTAAGCACACTTGTGTTTTTTTCCCCCTCTTCCTTCTGATTGTCCAAGGGAAATTCATTTGCTCCAAACTTTCCTGCAGTTTTTTGAGCAAAGGAAATTTTTGAGATATGTGAACAGTTTTCTTCTTTTTCACTTTTTATTAGCATCACTGAAGAGGACTTGTGTATGTCTTTTCTACATATATATTTAAACAAGTAATCCTATGAAAATTCTCATGGATTTTTCCCTTCTTCTCTCGAACAGTTTAAAGCTAGAATGTGAAAAACTAGCCAGTGAAAAGACAGAGATGCAGCGGCATTATGTCATGGTAAGCAAGCAGCATAACGAATTCAAAATGTCTATTTTGTTCGCGGGGTCCAGGAATGGAGACAAGTGCTCCGATTGCTGGAGGCAATGGAGATGCTGTAATGATGAAGGCTGCAATTGGAAACATTGGATTTGAAGGCTTTTCATGTGCGTAATACTGGTAGCTCTGGTATGCATTTTTCCATCTGTGGCACAGCCTATTAGACCTTGTATTCAGACTTCTTTTGAAGCCTGAATAGAGGCTGCATGGTAGAATATCCTAAAAATTGTACTCTATGCACAAGGGTCTATATAGCATCTCATACTTCCTCCAAGTATTGATGGAATATGTGTTTGACTGGCTAGAGGCATACCTTCAAGCAAAAGCTGCCAGATCTGTTTCCTTATTCTACTGCTTTGACTTATGAAATATATCTGTACTTCAAAAGAGTGACACATTCAGTGCCGACAACACCAGTAGTTTAATAAAGGTCTTTAAAACCTGTTGCTTATGAGCTGATTGTTGAAGATTTCAAGAATAATCATGATAAGAATTATAGAACAGATCCTCACCCCTATATCTGTGGACTCACTTCAGCAATAATCAGTGTGTGATGAAGTCTCCAAATGCCTAATTTTCTGATGGATTGTGATGACACCCAAGGAGCTGTTTTCTGTCTGCTCCTCTCTGCTTATGTGAGGAAATAATTGCTTTCTTTATGTGATGGAGTGACTTGATTTTAAGGAGGACAATAACCTTGAGAGAGAGTCCGCCTTCTAGCCAAAGCCCAAACTATCCATCAAAGCTTTATATTCTGGCCTTCATATGTCTAATGTGGCTAGAGTGCAAGGTGCTAACTGGCAGAATTCAGTAACCGCGCAGAACTGGAAAATAGGACATTTTTTAAACAATGGTGTGTCTGCTTTGAATTTGAATTGCTCTGCTGTTTTCTTCTCTTGCAAAGCTTCAATTTAATTATGGTCATTCTTTTTACATTGTTGATTGATGGCCATGTCTTTTTTTTTTAAAGCTTTCCTAGCATTTAATAAATCAGTACTGTGAAACAAGATGTGTGCTTGGGTTTGTATAATCTTTGGTGCTTTTGTCATTTTGCCTTTCTGGCCACCCACTTTTGAACAGCTGTAGAATTAAGAACAAAAAATAGATTTATTTTACCAGTAAAGACAGAAAAAATAGCTGTCTTACACTACATATGCTTTCAAAAAGAAAAAGAAAAAAAAGGAAAAACAAACAAAGTGGATGCATTGATATGATACAAATCCTAAAATTCCTTTTCTTTTTTCTTAGTATTATGAAATGTCGTATGGATTGAATATAGAGATGCCGAAACAGGTAGGCAAAATATTCTTTTTTTTGTGTGTAAAGTTACATTTCATATTAATCTGCTACATTCTGTGTTTTCCTTTCAGTTGCAGTCAGGTCTTCTGATCATTTTTTGTTCAGCGTGACTAAATGCTATTTTTTGTGTATAAAAAAACTCTGCGCAAACTGGCATATCTAGTCCAGATTTTTGGCAAACCCTCTCCCATCCACCCTGTGTCTCAGAGGAACTCTGTAATAGTTACCTAGTTATTTTTAATTCTGCGTAATTGGTGATCAGGTACAAAATCAGGGTTGTAGGTTGGAGCCATTCAAGTTGTAAACTGCTGCCTTGTAAAGCGGAGGTACAGGAATGTGAGGAAAATGTCCCTCAGGTCAATCCATGGTGAAGGAATAGTTGTCTTTGTTCAGTTGAACCTTATGTAAGAGGATGAACTTGTTAGGGTATGTAGGCTGACAAAAGGAAATGGTTGCAGAATGAATCAGCAGGTCCCAGGGGCTGTTTAGGTGCCCTTTAAGGGGGAACTGTCTCCCCACAAAATAAAAAAGATCCGTGTTGTAGTGCCAGAAATTCTTCAGAACAAATAGGCTTGTACTGGATGGAGTACATCCCTGTGCTGTAAATTAGCAGTCAGTTGAAGATTAGCAGGTTAAAATGAGGTGGTGTAAGTCAGCGTTTCTTGTAATTTACTGAAAGAATGGAACCTTTCTTGTGACGAATTGACAATTTTTGACTTGTTTTGCAATGAGGGTCCTACCCAAAGTTTATCTTCTATAAATCTGTCTTAGGAAGGATGAATGTTCTCAGAATTGTATGTACGTTGTGGGAAGAAGTGGAATGATGGCAATAGAAGTTGTTTGGAATTACCGGAGATTTATTATCATTGTTGAATTCTGCCCTGCTGAAAATCTGACTTTGGAATTTTATTTGCTGTTTCACAATATATTCTTACATTTGGAATCCCAGGATACGCCATTGTCGCAGTGCCATTAGCATAGGCAAAATAATAAACTCCTTAATATTTTATAGTTGCCATGTCTTATTTTTGTGACTTTCCCTCATTCAAGTGTTGGCAGGCATATGCAGGGTTGGTAGAAAGTCTGGCATGAAGCCTGTGCTGTAATAATTAGGAACACTTAGTGGTGTCCAGTGCAAAGAATGATACCATCTCTCTTGATCAGGACCTATAAGTATGGAAGATGTCTTTGTGTTGAATCTAGTGCTAAGTGCTCAGATGTTCACTTTTTAAAAACAACGTAGTATAAATTAGCATACCAAGGCTCCCATGGATGTTCTGGAAAAGCCTTTGTTGCTGTTCCACAGGACCTCTCTAACAAATAGATATGTGTTTGGCCTAAAAAACAAAAAAACGTAGAAAGATAAATGGCCTAGAGGTAGAATCAGTGATTGCTCCACCAGGAGCAGAGATGGCAGAGAAATTGGAAAAGAAGTGGCCTTTAATTTATGTTTTTATTTCACATATTCAAGCTGGAAACAATACGCAGTAGAGTGTTCTGAGGAAATCATTCATTTAATTTTTAAATGTGCCAATTTTGAAGGATTGATTTTAATTAGAATATCATTTTTTCCATTACTGTCATGTCTATTCAGATTAGAAATGTAAACACTCCACCCTCGCACAACATACTTCTTAGTACTTTTTTTTTAATCGCATGCTGCTGACTCTAATGAAATACAACAAAGAAAGTCGTTCATAGAACTATCATTTAAAAAAAATCTTATCTTCTCATCTGTCTCCCCTGGGTAATATGTGGGCTTAGTAATGAGGTTCGTGGTACATATTCCCCTTGTTACCTCCTGCCTCTGACTGCCGCGTCCTGTTCTGCATGTTCAGCATCGAAGGCCGCCTTTTTGTACACATGTACACCTATCTCGAAGGGGACAAACAAAGCCTTTGGACCTCTAGCTTTGAAGTCTTCCAGGTTTGTTCTTCCTGTCCTGCCCCGTTTCTCCCCATTTCAGCCTGACTGAACTGCCCTTGGGATTATCGGTTGATTTTGCCTTTACAGTATATTCAATAATATATATGTATTTTGAAACATTTTGAGGTCAGTTTATCACATTATGGGATGCTAGCAGCTCTGCAGCCTGCCTGCTTTTTGTATTTTCTCCTTCTCCCTGCCGCTCTTCCATCTCCGTCTTCACCACCTCCGCCCCTTCCTCCCCAAAAGCACAGAGGCCTATCTATCTTTATTTGTTTTCCTAGGCAGACAGCCTTGGTTCCTCTTAGCTCCTTTTTCCAGATGTAGAGGCTGGATGCCCTTGTAATGGAAAGCAGGCAATAATGCAGGGAAGTTGCCCTGCGGCATAATTGGGCCTAGTTCTCAAGATCAGGTTAGGCTTATTCGCTTATTAGATTTGCGTCTCGGAGGGTTCAAAAGTAGGGCTCCCTAGAGTCTCTGGAAGTACCCTAGTAATTGGTGGCCCTGATATCTGAAACCTTTGCATATTTTTCCCGTTCAAGTGTCTGTTCTTTTTGGCTGCTCCTGGCCACAGAATATTTATTTTCAGAGAATTTTTGCATTGGATGGAACAGAAAATGATTGCTGTGATAGAGTCATGATGGTGTGATTTAGAAAACTGATAAAAGGATAAACGTGAATCTCTCTCTTTCTCTGAATGCCTCGGGGGTGTGTGTGTGTGGGGGGGAAGAGGATGTGGTTGTGTTTCTCTTTCCACCTCCCCTTTTGCAAGGCTGATCATCAGTCATCCTGTGTTGGTTTTGATAGAAGACTATTAAAGTGAAACCTATGGGGAATTTGTCATTCTGAAAGGAAAGCTAATGTAATTAGTACCAATTAAAGTACATTTAGTAAATTGGATTTAATCTTAATTAAGCCTGCATAATGTTGCCAATTTTTAACAATTATGTTTGAGAACATAATTAATTTAGATTTTGGTAACTGAGTAAATAGCATTAGCCTGATAGAATTAGTTCTCTGAATTATTTTAGTTTATTTTTCCCCCAAAGTATCACAACAACAAGCAACCCTCTTGTGTGCCATAAACACATACATTTTTACTTTACATTTCTGGCCATTTTGGCTAAGATTAGTAAAGTTGGGCAGATGTATCGGGAGATGCCAGATGCAAAACTGTTGCATTTTTGCTTCGTGACATGGGGGAAAATGCTGTTGCTGCTACTACTATTCCTCCTTGTAGCTAGATGTTAATCCTCAGCATATTTAAGGAGAAGCGAGGACCTTGAACTCTATTTGGGCTCTAAAAGTGTTAAGCAGACAAAGTCCTGAAAGGGAGAGCGAGTGTGTGCATTTTCCTTCTTGCTAAATCATGAAGGGGAATTTTTTAAAAAATCAAGAAGATATGAATGTGCTGTGTTCTGCTTTTTTGACTGTCTGGGGTGTAATTTTCCTGATGTTTTCATTAGCTACGGTTCAGTAGAATAAGTTCATTGAGTATTGAACCTCTTTCACTTCAATATTGGTAATTTGTGCCCCTGAAAGAAGAACTGATAGTTGGCTGGAGAAAAGACACTTAGGAATAGATCAGTGGGAAGTTAAACTGGAGGGCAATATTCTGGTTTCTTCTGCTGTCTTGCTAGTACAGTAGTGCTTTGTTCCTCAGCTGAGCTCATTGTAGTTCAAAGAATCTTATTTTTCTGTATATTTCTTTTGAAGAAGAAGAAGAAGAAGAAAAAAATCAGAGCTTGAAGCTGGCCATGGGAAGGATGAATGACATTTGTTGTTGTGTCCTTTATAGCCAGAACGGTGGTCTTCCTCTCCCTTCCACCTTTCCATTATTTCTCTTCAATCCATGTAAATTTTATTACTAGTCCTAGGCAACAACCATTTGAGTGCTGCTAAAATATTAATTGAGTAGAAATGAAAGGGCTCTGGCCAACTGATAGGATATCATAATTGTAGCTGCACCAGTCGATGGTAAATGATGATAAATGGCATTAGGAACCTTTTAGCAAACTGTAATAACTACAAGGAGGGAAGTGGTATGGATTTGCATTATATCTGATACCCTCTGGTACCAAGTGGATTGCCAATACTGCTTGTTTAGCATTTTCTAAGGGCAATAGGATATTGATTTCTGACTTACAAGGAACAGCTCTATTTTCACCATTGAAAAGTATTGCAGGTTGTTAAGAAGAAATTGACTTGAAGAGGCCTGACTGCTGCCCATCATGGAGCAAATAAAGCAAAACTGCCGAAGCATGGTGGTGCAGTGAGATGGGGCCCTCAGCAATTTGTTGCTATTAATTTACCATGCTCGACAGCAAATCAATCGGCATCTACTTCATCTGCTGGAGAAAATGCTGTCCAGGGCAGATAAAAGGCCCTGTGTAGTGCGGGGGAATAGACTGGATTGGCCAAACGGAGGCTGCAGTTAATGTGTAAATAAGTGAAATCAAGGCCGCTCTTGCAGAGGGGAAGCCGTTTTTAATTAGGTTGGAGCTTTATAGGGAGCCATTTAAGAAAGTAGCATAGAGCTGGGAGGGTGGGGAGGGGAGAAGGAGGAGATCTATCACTGACTGGGTTGATAGATGGCCTGTATGACATCCTCTCCTTGAGCCTGCTGACTGCAGTGTGTTTTGGTAAAGTATTTTAGTAGAAGACTAAAGAGAAGGATCCATTTGTTTAATTTAGAGCTAGGGTTGGACTATCATTTTCATCTTCATGTCCATAGAATGTTATCCGTCTTAGAGAATTGCTGGTTTAGTATCCTGTGTATATCTAACAGGGCTAGTTAGTGGGTTGGCCTGGTTGTGGGATTGGTGACTGTGGCCCTCCTAATGGTCTTAAACTGGAACCTTTCCCAGCTATAACCAGCACGGTCAATGGAGAGGGATGCTGAGAGTTACGGTTGGAAAAAAAAATGTTAGTTTATTGGATTAAGTTTCCACCTTTCTCCTCAAAATAAGACCTGAGGTGGCTGGAGGATCAGGCTAATTCAACCCTGCCCATAGGCTCTAGCAGGCCACAATCCTATTGCTTTTTACAGCATGTGCAACGGAAGTTGTCAGAATTGCAGCATTGAATTGACGATGTGCAGGTTGCACGTTGTTCACTTGCCTGGTGAAGGCCTGATACCTTTTTAGTAAATCATGGTGCTTTCTGTGATTTTCCTTCCATGTGTTGTAGAACGTAATAGGATTCTGGCCTCGGTACAGTCGTGCCCCGCTTTACGATTGCATCGTATTATGACGAAACTGCATTGCGACAATCTTCTGCATTACGCATTACGACGAAGATCTGAATAGGGTTTTTTTGCTTTGTGATGATCAGTTCCCTGCTTTAGGAACTGATTCTTCGCAAAACGATTTTCGGACAGCTGATCGGTGGTTTCAAAATGGCCACCGAGTAAATAAAATGGCTCCCCGCTGTTTTCTGGGATGGATTCCTCGCTGCACAGGCACCGAAAATGGCCGCCCTATGGAGGATCTTCTCTGGACGGTGAGTTTCCCGCCCATTGGAGGGGTTTCAGTGCATTTCAGTGGGCTTTTTATTTTCGCATTACGACGTTTTCGTTCTACAGCTATTTTGCTGGAACGAATTAACGTCGTAATGTGAGGCACCACTGTATGTGGGGCTGCTAACACGCAACCCATGCACAGCAGCAATTACTGCTGGATTAATTGATTGCCTTATTAATTGATTTTGTTTTATTTTATTTATTGTTTCCTGGTTAACTTTTAAGATGTCATGAGATTCTTTGTTGGGTTTGCTGCAACAGACTAATACAGCTACTGCTCCCCCTCCAATTAGGGAATGTATGTGTTTCTCTGTCTCTGTGTAGATCTTCTTCAGATAGGCAGCGTATCCTTGGCACACAAAGTGTGGAGCATATGCATGCATCCTGATGCAGAAAAGGTGTATATATTGGTGAACATTGGCTTCCTCATTCACATCTCTTTGAATTTACTCAGCGTGGACACCCAGTATGTGTTGGAATTTTATATAAAGGATGATCGTGGACTTCTGATGCTGCCAAGAACGCTATGTGTCAGAAGGGATACTTCTCTTTATACATTGTAGTCAACAGAGGAAATTACAAAAGACATTTTATAATGTTTTAAATGGATTAAATATGTTTTGGGTTGCAAATGAGATTGTATGTGTGAGTGGATTGAAAGAGTGAATGTGCACTCTATTGATCTCTGGCTATAGAAATCTTGCCTTCTGTTTGAAGGAAGGCCGGTGAAGCAGTGAAAATGACGTTTGAAAATTCTCTCCCTTTATAAACAATGGGAAAGATTTAATCGAGATACAGGCTGCCAGGGAGCAATAGTCTGGAGAAGGGCTAGGAAACTCCCAGATAGAATGGACTAGAAGTGAAAATGTAAAGATATTTGTAACAAGCAGAGATTCGTAAGGAGTGACAATGTACGGAAATTTGTAAGAAGCGACGATTTGTAAGAAGTGATCATGTAAGGACACCCCTTTGCCAGTTTAAGATTATCCAGTCTCTTCTGTGAAACTGGTTCAGGTGGATTTGTCAGGTAGGGGCCCAGCCTGTATATTCTCCACTGACCATGACATTTTGGCTTGCTAAAGTCTCTGAATGTGACTAGTGCAAGTTTGTGGAGTGATGAGGGCAGAAAAAGGCTCTTGGGATACAAGGTAGCATGTTTGGAAGGAGAGGGAGGAATAGGCATCCAATTTATTGTATAAATAGTATGAGTTGAGCAACTCCTGATTTAAAGCATATTGTATCTTTTGGAATCTAGAAGGTGACTCTTCCATACGCCTGCTGTAAGACTCTGCAGACTTAATACCACCTTTTTAACTGGTCAAACATTTCCACACCGGTTGAAATAGCTATGAAATTACCGTTCCTGTTTTTTGTAAAACAATTGCCGTTAAGACCAAGGTTGTCTGTTTCTGTGTAGAATGTGAGGCCACAATAATGACTATTATGCTTTGGCAACAAGTGTCTATGGTTAAAATCTTCTTCACGCTTACCAAAGGATAACTTCCACTGAACACAGTGGGCTTTTCTTT